CATAGGTTCTACAGAAAACTGACCGTGACCAACATGGTGGGAGACAAGAGAAACAAACAATGAACCGACAGGGGAACACAGGAAGAGACAAGACTAAATACAGAGAGGGGTAATCACAAGACGAGACACAGCTGGGGTAAGGGAGGCAGAAACACAAGGGCAACAGGTGAACACAATCAAACAATCAGACACACCAGGGAAACTAAGACAGGAAGGCAAACACAGGAAGAAGGAACAGAGAAGACACGAGGAAAACATTTCAAAACAAAACAGGAAACCAGAAAAAGACAAGACAAAACACAACACAGACAGATCGTGACAATGCAATATATTAGACGTTAAGTACTTTGTCAGGCTTAATATCTGTAGATACCCCCAAAGCTTTTTTCTTATTTAAAAGAAGACCTTAACCTAAAGTATTCTTTAATGTTTAAATAAAGCCTTATTAGTTTGTCTGTTTTGCACATCCTCCTATCAGGCACTAAACTGTTTTATTGTAGAGATCACTTACAGTATCTTCTTGATATTTTCTATTCAACCCGGTATTTTTTTATTTTTTTTATTTAACCTTTATTTAACCAGATAAAAAACATTGAGATAAAATCTCATTTTCAATGCTGACCTGGCCAAGAAGGCAGCAACGTTACACATAACACATAACACAAACATATAAAATACAGAGAACATAAAGAAAACAAAAGATGAAAAAGCAGTCACTACATTGTGCACATTAGGACAATAAAAAAAGTACACTACTTGTTACTGCAAGAGCAGCTGGTGGTGAGGACTTCAGACAACTTCAATTTAAAACATGAAATAGAGACAAATGCCCTCAGTTTAAGGCGTGATTGAAGGTCATTCCAAGACCAAGGACCATAATAAGAAAGACTCCTTTTTCCAGCCTCAGTCCGTACAGTAGGTACCTGGAACCGTATCCAGGCACTGGATCTGAGTTTGTAAGAGTCACAAACTGGGGCAAATCTGACACATATGTAGAGTGGAAGCTTACCTAAAATGGCTTTATACATTAATAAAAACCAGTGCTGCATCCTACGCATAGTAAGTGAGGACCATCCAGTTAGGCTATACAGTGTGCAATGATGAGTCCTATAGGGTGCATTTGATATATAACGCAGTGCAGCATGGTAAAGTGGGTCAAGTTTGGCCAAAACAGTGGGACAGGCAAATCTATAAATGGTATCACTGTAGTCCAGCTGGGACAGGAATAAGCCAGAGACCAACCTTTTACGGGATGAAATTGAAAAACAACATTTAAATCTGAAAAGGAAGCCAAGAGTGAATTTCAATTTCTTTGTTAAAACTTCAATATGGTGTTTAAAGTTCAGATTACTGTCCAACCAAAAGCCCAGATATTTGTAGGTATCAACAAATTCAACAGAAACGCCATCAAGGGTGTCAATGGAGAGGCAAGAGGAGGACGCTGACTTGGGAGCAAAAAGCATTGCTTTGGTTTTCTTACTGTTCAATAGCAGTTTAGAATCAAGAAGCGCATGCTGCAGGTATCACGGCAAGACGTGAACATGTGACGATCTACCATGCTGGGAGACGTGAATATGTCACGGTTTCGTCCCTTCAAACATGACAGTTACACGGTATTGTTAACATGGCCCAACCAGTGGAGAAATACCCGGAAGTGCCAAGCAAATGGTCTACCGCGCCTATTGGTCGGTTTTTATTGTCAAAATTAGATGTTTTTAATTTATTTTTTAATCGTCACACTCGATTTCGCTGATTTTCTTGTTGCCCTAGCTGGTCGACACCTCTTTTAGCAGAAACAAAGACCGCGGTGAAGTTAGTTTTAGGTTGGATATTCGACGGACATTCGCGGACCAGCCAGGAGCGTCAGTTTCCCCTGCTGCTGGCTGTATTACGACGGGGAGATCTTCTGTGCGAAACGAGGCTTTCACTTAGGGACCATCAACAAATGACTTTTCAATTACACAAGAAAAATGTTGTTTTTAATAAATCGACAGCTTCTCGATCGTGTGAATGTGAAGCAAATTCACTCTAGAGCATACATTTATTGACCACACCTCTTTTTATTGCATTTTAATACTTTAAATATTTTATATTAATATTTTGATGGAAAAATTAGCTTATTTCTTCAATACCTTCCAGGTCATGTGACCTAATCACTCAAAATCAATGCTGGGTCAAATAACTACACTGGCTGCGTAGGACACACCTCTTTTTATTCCATTTTAATACTTTAAATATTTTTATATTAATATTTTGATGGAAAAATTAGCTTATTTCTTCAATACCTTCCAGGTCATGTGACCTAATCACTCAAACTCAACGCTGGCTCAAAGAACTACACTGGCTGCATAGGACACACCTCTTTTTATTCCATTTTAATACTCTAAATATTTTATATTAATATTTTGATGGAAAAATTAGCTTATTTCTTCAATACCTTCCAGGTCATGTGACCTAATCACTCAAACTCAATGCTGGCTCAAATAACTACACTGGCTGCATAGGACACACCTCTTTTTATTCCATTTTAATACTTTAAATATTTTATATTAATATTTTGATGGAAAAATTAGCTTATTTCTTCAATACCTTCCAGGTCATGTGACCTAATCACTCAAACTCAACGCTGGCTCAAAGAACTACACTGGCTGCATAGGACACACCTCTTTTTATTCCATTTTAATACTCTAAATATTTTATATTAATATTTTGATGAAAAAATTAGCTTATTTCTTCAATACCTTCCAGGTCATGTGACCTAATCACTCAAACTCAATGCTGGCTCAAAGAACTACACTGGCGGCATAGGACACACCTCTTTTTATTCCATTTTAATACTCTAAATATTTTATATTAATATTTTGATGGGAAAATGAGCTTATTTCTTCAATACCTTCCAGGTCATGTGACCTAATCACTCAAAATCAATGCTGGCTCAAAGAACTACACTGGCTGCATAGGACACACCTCTTTTTATTCCATTTTAATACTCTAAATATTTTATATTAATATTTTGATGGGAAAATGAGCTTATTTCTTCAATACCTTCCAGGTCATGTGACCTAATCACTCAAACTCAACGCTGGCTCAAAGAACTACACTGGCTGCATAGGACACACCTCTTTTTATTCCATTTTAATACTCTAAATATTTTATATTAATATTTTGATGGAAAAATTAGCTTATTTCTTCAATACCTTCCAGGTCATGTGACCTAATCACTCAAACTCAACGCTGGCTCAAAGAACTACACTGGCTGCATAGGACACACCTCTTTTTATTCCATTTTAATACTCTAAATATTTTATATTAATATTTTGATGGAAAAATTAGCTTATTTCTTCAATACCTTCCAGGTCATGTGACCTAATCACTCAAACTCAACGCTGGCTCAAAGAACTACACTGGCTGCATAGGACACACCTCTTTTTATTCCATTTTAATACTTTAAATATTTTATATTAATATTTTGATGGAAAAATGAGCTTATTTCTTCAATACCTTCCAGGTCATGTGACCTAATCACTCAAAATCAAGGATGGCTCAAAGAACTACACTGGCTGCATAGGACACACCTCTTTTTATTCCATTTTAATACTCTAAATATTTTATATTAATATTTTGATGGAAAAATGAGCTTATTTCTTCAATACCTTCAAGGTCATGTGACCTAATCACTCAAAATCAATGCTGGGTCAAAGAACTACACTGGCTGCATAGGACACACCTCTTTTTATTCCATTTTAATACTCTAAATATTTTATATTAATATTTTGATGGGAAAATGAGCTTATTTCTTCAATACCTTCCAGGTCATGTGACCTAATCACTCAAAATCAATGCTGGCTCAAAGAACTACACTGGCTGCATAGGACACACCTCTTTTTATTCCATTTTAATACTCTAAATATTTTATATTAATATTTTGATGGGAAAATGAGCTTATTTCTTCAATACCTTCCAGGTCATGTGACCTAATCACTCAAAACCAATGCTGGCTCAAAGAACTACACTGGCTGCATAGGACACACCTCTTTTTATTCCATTTTATTACTTTAAATATTTTATATTAATATTTTGATGGAAAAATGAGCTTATTTCTTCAATACCTTCCAGGTCATGTGACCTAATCACTCAAAATCAATGCTGGCTCAAAGAACTACACTGGGTGCATAGGACACACCTCTTTTTATTCCATTTTAATACTCTAAATATTTTATATTAATATTTTGATGGGAAAATGAGCTTATTTCTTCAATACCTTCCAGGTCATGTGACCTAATCACTCAAAATCAATGCTGGCTCAAAGAACTACACTGGCTGCATAGGACACACCTCTTTTTATTCCATTTTAATACTTTAAATATTTTATATTAATATTTTGATGGAAAAATGAGCTTATTTCTTCAATACCTTCCAGGTCATGTGACCTAATCACTCAAAACCAATGCTGGCTCAAAGAACTACACTGGCTGCATAGGACACACCTCTTTTTATTCCATTTTAATACTTTAAATATTTTATATTAATATTTTGATGGAAAAATGAGCTTATTTCTTCAATACCTTCCAGGTCATGTGACCTAATCACTCAAACTCAATGCTGGCTCAAAGAACTAGTGATGGGATTTATGGCTCTTTGAAGGGAGCCGGATCTTATGGCTCCGTTCCTTTCAAAGAGCCGTTCAAAAGAGCCGTTCTAAAGAGCCGTTTTGTTAAAGGGGGCAGGGTTACTAGATTTATCTGCGAAATAATCACCAGGATAATGATTGACTGTATTGCCATTTGCCAGACCTAATGTCAATAATCTGCATTGTAAACACGACACAAGGTGGCGCCATATCCATGTCATTCATGTCAGTGAATGTATTACTTTGAATTTACCCTCTGTATGTGTTAAGTAAATAAAGTTGCCTTGCCTTGAATGAAATTCACGCAACTCTTAATATTAGAACACTTTTTATTGGCAATATACAATTTACAATAAACTTTTGTGCAAAACATATTTTATTGCAAATCGAACAACACCAAAAACATTTAGGAATAAATAGGAAAACTACTTCTGAACAATATTTAAAGTATTATAAAAACAGAGTAAAATAAAATAGAGAAAAATCTGTGAGCTGCTTTGTCAAAAACAGGAGATGAGCTGCTCCTGGCCTATGGCCTGCTTGCTGCTTGAGCATGCATTATGCCATCATCTATGGCAAATTTGCATTAAGGAAAACAAGTTCCCTCACTTTTGAGGGCTTAAGGCGATTTCTCCTCTCTGATACTATTTGTCCAGTCTTCGAGAATATTCTCTCTGACGGAACTGACGTTGCCACAATGCAAAGCCTTTCAGCCATGAGCTTGGTGAGCCTGGGGTATAAGGTGGCTCGACTTTCCCACCACTTAAGAGGATCTGAGGATTTTGGAAGAAGAGGCTCCTCTAGGTAAGACCGCACCTCCATGATGGCATCTGCTGTGGGATTCCTTGTTGACACTGCACCAGCGACACGGTCATGGAAATACCTCCAAACAACTGATCCTTCTGCAGCACTGCCTGCTCCTTCCTGTTGATCTGGTTGCTGGCTGGGTTCGCTGCTGCTGAGAGTGACTCTTCCTGCTGCAGTTGCTATTCTCTGGAAAGCCTCATCTGCAGCTCTGGCATCCCCGAATGCCACCTTTTTGAATCTTGGGTCAAGTGCCGTAGCATCTCCAAGGGTGTGGTTATATTCCATTCTGAGGAATCTACTTGCCATGTTTGCACATAGCGAGTTCCCCAAATCTGATGCTTGTTGTGTTGTTGCACTTCCCTGGCGGCTGACTGTGACTTTCTGCAGTCCCTTTGCCAGCAATATTACCATTGAGGCGGTCACGTAGCTAGTGAGAAAAAAACAAGGAATATTGAGACAATTATGTGTTAAGTGTTACCAACAATGACACACTATACTATATACACTGGTATCTATATCATTTATATAATACAAATAAAATAGTCTCAAACATTCATAATTTGTTATCTGGTATTTTTGCATGCATGCTATAGAAAGCTTCAGCTGACCAACTCTAACTAATAACACACCTTTCTGCACTGATCTCAACAGTGACTTCTTGAAAGGGCTCCAGGATAGTGCACACCTCCTGCAGTATGCTCCATTCTTCTTGGGATAGAGGGCTGACTGATGCATTTGTGATGGCCAGGGTGGAGATAATGGCATCCTTGGATTTCAGAAAACTCTTCAACATGTCATATGTAGAGTTCCATCTTGTGATGCAGTCCTGTTTGAGTCGTAGCTCTGCCATCCCCATTTGGTTTTGAGTGGCCTTCAGTTTTTCTGCACCCACTGTGCTCCTGTGAAAGTATTCCACCACCTCTTTCACTTTATCCAGAATGGGTTTTAGGCCTTTGAGGGAATCTCTGGCAATCAAATTGATAGTATGTGCCATGCATGGAAGGTGGGTCCATTTTGCTATTTGTATAGCCTTTGTAATGTTAGCAGCATTGTCAGTTACGCAGCAAACCACTTTACCTTCCACTTTCCAATCTTTTGCAACATTGAGAAGCTTTTTGGCCAGATTGTCTGCTGTGTGCCGTTCACTAAATTCAAAACAGTCCAATAGGCAGGAGGACATCTTGAAATCTTCAATGAAGTGGCATGTTACTGCCATAAATGAGGTTGTAGCCCTTGATGTCCAACAGTCTACGGTTAAGCAAACTGCTGACAGTTTAGACACCTTTTCCTTCAGTGATGCTGCTTCTCTCTGATACATGTTTGCAATTGTCTGGGATACTGTCTTCCTTGATGGAAGACTGTAGGAAGGGTTGAGAGCATTGCTGTATCGCTTGAATCCTTTGTCTTCCACAATACTGAATGGCTGGAAGTCAGTTGCAATCATTTTAACAAGCTCTTCATCTATCTTACCTTGTCTCATTGGGGTTATGACAGGTGCTACATAACTGTGGAGATGAGTCTGTTTTGTTTTAGGTATTGTGCCAGTGGTTCTATGAGAGCTTGGTGCCTGGCCAGGCACTAATGTAGGCCTATTGGTAGTTTCAGATGATGACTGACTTGATGTGGTCGGGGTTTCAGCAGAAGCACTGGCGCCGTCTCCGTCATTATTATTGGAACCTTGTTGTCTCAGCTCGGCCACTTGCACCGTCGGATGCTGTGTTTTTAAGTGGCGATGAAGATTATTGGTTGACCCTGCTTTAAATGATATTTTTCCTTTACAAATGGTGCACTCCGCTTTATCACTGCCTGGATTTTGTTTAAAGTGCATCCAAATGCTGCTGCGTTTTCGCGTTTGGCTCATTATCTATCCGCAAAACACGTGGGACGTCTATCTGTCCTATACCACCACTTGTTATGGCTTGGCTTCTCTCTCGCGTGTATTCCGTTAAGACCCACCCCATCTCACTCCTCGTGCTGAAACCTACCAATCAGAGTAGGGGCGGGTCTTCACAGAATACGTTTAGGGAACAAAATCAAGCTTTTTAAAAGGCGAGTGGATTTTGACAGGCAGTGAGTGCGGACCAACGATTGAACGATAAAAAGAACGGCTCTCACCAAGTACGACTCGGTTCCCCTCGTTCGTACCAAAGAGCCGTTCAAAAGAATCGGCTCGTTCGCGACCGACACATCACTACAAAGAACTACACTGGCTGCCAGGATAACAACCTCCATCTCAACTTCAGCAAAACCAAAGAGCTGATTGTGGACTACATGAAGCAGCAGAGAGAGGGTCACGCCCCCATCGCCATCAATGGGACTACGGTGGAGAGAGTCAGCAGCTTCAGGTTCCTTGGGGTCCACATCACTGAGGACCTGACATGGACTCTTCACACCACCACCATCACCAAGAAAGCTCGACAGCGGCTCTTCTTCCTCCGCAGGTTGAGGAGGTTCAAAATGGATTCCAGGATACTCTGCAACTTCTACAGGTGCACGATAGAGAGTATCCTCACTGGCAGCATGACGGCCTGGTACGGCAGCTGCACCGACCTCGATCGTAAGGCTTTACAGAGGGTGGTGAAAACTGCACAGCACATCACCAGGACGGAGCTGCCATCCATGGAGGACCTTTACTCCCAGCGGCTCAGGAAGAAATCACTACGGATTATCAAAGACCCCCATCACCCCAGCCACAAACTGTTCTTTCTGTTGCCGTCTGGCAGACGTTACCGCAGCATCCGGGCAAGGACAAGAAGATTCGGAGACAGTTTCTTCCCGCGGGCAGTGAGACTGTTAAAAAATTGAACTGTTGAAACAACTTCAAACATTCAACTGCTACTCAGTAGTATGTATCTAATACCTAATATATATATATCATTCCAATAACTTGTATATAGACTCATACTGCACTATTCCACATCATAACTTTATTTCATTTTTATAACTATTATTATTTTTGTATTGCTCTTGCTCTTATTGTTATTATGTTATGTTATTATGTTGCATTGTTGGAGAAGCCTGTGACATAAGATTTTCAACTGCATAATTACTCTGTAGCTATGTCAGATTGACAATAAAGAACCTTGAACCTTGAACCTTGAAGGACAAAGGACATGAAGTATTATAACCCAAGATGATTAAGTGCATGTTGTAGGGGGAGAATATGAAGATGAAAAATGTAAATGTAAATACAGCATACAAACTTATAACAGAAACTAGATTTCTAAATCAGACTTGAAACTGCAATTACAGTTTCTGTTCCTGAGCAGCCTGTTTAATGTCATTTAGTGAAAACTCTAAAAGGGAAAAAGGTTAAATGCATAAACATGGACAGTTTAATTATATTCTGTGTATGTAGCTTTGATGGTGCATAATACAAAAACAAGGCCTTCACCCAAAAATTCAAGATTGTTAACCCTCTGGTATCATTCAAATGCACTACCCTAATTAGTCATTCGGGACAAAAATGTCCAGAGTGATACCGGAGGGTTAAAAGATTCCTCAAGTGTCCATATTAAACAGAATGCATTTATTTCCCCTCAATCCTGACTTGCAGTTGACCTGGCTGTGGAAAAAAAAGGACACCGAGGTGGTCGTGGCAGTGCTCCCCTCACAGATGAAAGGACGCATCTTACTTATCCGCCACTGTGAGCTATGCTCACTTCGACCCCACCAGTGGTTGACAGGGGAGGTACGTGACTACATGTTTCAAGTGTCTGAAGTTTCACTCTACACTGTGTCATTTTCTTTATCTTGCATTTAACGATTTCTGCCAAAAAAATATCTAAAAAAAATGTCTAGATACTTTTGTCAGTCACAAGATTCTCAAAGTTGCAGGAAATGAAAGTTCAGTAAAACTGGGAATATGCATTAATTGGCTAATTGTTATGATCTTTTTTGCAAGGTAATTGAAGGCGTGTTTCATGTTGCTGCCGACAAATTCGGCGTTGTGAACAAAATGTACTTGCTAAATCACTACACAGCAGGTGTCATTTTGTTCGGGGACAGAACTCAGCTAACATCTCACAGTTTACCAAAGGTAATGTGTGTGGTCTGTGTATGTCTATGTGTGTGGTGTGTTGTGTTTGTGCATGGTGATGCTGTAGGGGGAAGTAGGTGTGGATTTGATTTGTGGGCTCACACTCACACATTAGGTACATGGAGTGAAGCATTGGCTGAGAATCCACAGGTCTTAAATAGGAAATTAGCTGAGATTATTTTACTTGATCCTCTCTGAAACTATACTCATTAGTTAAATCACCTGATAAATCTACTTACTATTGAATTTCCATACCAACACTTGTTTTAAGCACAACAAATGAATGGCACAAGAACATAATTGTCAGACTAATGTTGTTGTTATTTTTACCTTAGCCTTCAAGTTTGTTTTAATCCTTTATTTGATGCCATTATAGGTAAACTTTGACAACTATGAAGCTGTCCTGTCCTTTGTACTTGTCAACAACAACCACTGGAAGTTGCTGGTTTGTAATTATTTTTGTTATTGTATTATTTCTGTTAAAGCACAAGACTTACATAGTGAAACCAAAAATCTTTTTTGATGAAAAGTGCTTTTACTTTTTTTGTTCTCTCACAGTACATTCATGCCAAAACCAGCACCGTATTCCTGGTGGATCCAGCTCAAAGCATCAAAGAGCTTGATGACTCCGAACATGCTGCCAAAAGAATACAGTAAATAAAAATTCAATAGATATTTGAAAATTCAAGTAAAAACTATATTTAAACGTAAACAATGTGTCACATTTAGTTACATTCATACTCACAAACAGCATTGAAAGCATTTTAAACAGTCTGATACAGTCTGTGTTCAGACAGTGATATCTATAGCTGACCCTTATATAAATAAATGGTCATATGGTGAATACAAACAGTATAAATGTCTGTTACATTATCTTTAGGTGCCACATAATTAGAAATATAAAGTGTGTTAACATTATCCTTTCTCAGGGAGTACTTCAAGATGAGGAGGACACGCCACAGCATAACAGACTGGGTGGATGTTAAGTGGAAGGGAGGCGTTATGGGCCACCCACTTCAAAAGGATGGATGTAGCTGTGGTGTCGTTGTTGTGAAGGTGAGCTGAAGATATTCTGTTTTCATCCAGTTAACAAGCAGAGTTTTTAATGTGAAAGACAGTTTAATGCAAGGACGGATTAAAAAATCTGTCAAAGTAGTGGTCGACCGATAAGGGTTTTTTAAAGGCCGATGCTGATCGCCATAATATTTAGCAGGCAGGTTGGCCAATGGACAATATACAGTATAATGCCGATATCATGTTGTTGTTTATTGTATTTTTCACAACTGACAACAATTGGATTATGACACAACATTGCTGAACTTAAATTAACAGTTATTTAACACTAATGTAGTATTCACTTGAACACAGAAAGTTTCATTGACAAAACTTCGCTTCCGAATATCTCAAAATTCCAATAATAGGACCGGTCTATATCAATAATGAAAAGTTTTGGGAGGCATTCTAGTCAAGGGTGGATGTCTTCTATAATGTGTCTCATGTTTTTGTCTGTATCTGTATTACTATACAATAAAGAAGAAAAAACCTCCATAACATAAGTGTTGTTTGTTTAGATGGCAAAGGCAGTCATGGAGTCCTTCCCTCTGATCCCGAATGTGAATTTCGAGTGTTCGAAGAAATACATGAAACAGGAGAGGATAGAACTGGCTCTCGAAATCCTTGAGGCATCAGGTAAATAAATATGAATATATGTATTTCATTTCATTTCAAACCTTTATTTATTCAGGTTGTATCCCATTGAGATCATTGACCTCTTTTTCAAGGGAGACCTGCTATATGTGTATGTATGTATATGTGTGTCTGTATGTATGTATATATATATGTATATATATATATATATATATATATATATATATATATATATATATATATATATATATGTATATGTATGTATATAGAAGCTGACATACATGTATTGTTATCTTGTTTCAGTCCTTGATGAGCACACTTATTGTGCTATGTGTGCTGCTTAAGGCCTCCAGGATCTGGATCTCCCATCACAAACTGGGTGAGCTGTTGTGAAGAAAATGTGGAATTGTGATGTCTACATTTATTTTTTAATGTATTCATTTATTTAACAGGGACAGTGCACATTAATTAACATCTCTGTAAATGTGCCAGAGTTAGCCAAGAGGCTATTTTTCATCTGTAGTCCCTGGACAGATTTTAAAAGTCAACCTAAAACACATTTCATTTTAAACAAGTAAATACAATACATTTAAAACATGCAACACACATTACTGGAATACTTAAATAAAACAATTTAAAAGTCAGAACAATAAAACAAAAAAACAAAAACAAAACAAGAGCATGTTAAAACACAGGCAGTGGGTTTTAAGGACCAGATGATTGTGTCAGCTGATTCCTCACTAACACTTGAGTATTAAGACAACTGAATGGTAATCTAAGCTACAAATATATAAATACATTATTTCTTTCACTTCAACAGATTCAGTGTGATGACTGTGAGCGATGGTACCATGCCCAGTGTCTGGCAATGGACAGCAGAGACTTTAAAAAGGCAGAGACAGGATATTGGAAATGTCCTTTGTGCAAGTAATACTTGAAATGTGCTCAATGATGACGATTAGTAAAACATGTGTCCTGTGTAGCCTTGTTTGTATTACTTTCTGATAATCACTGGATCACATGACAGGGAAGCTATAGAAAAAACCCTGAATTTTCCATAGAAATATTAATATTAAATAGAGGATGTAATATTATCCGATATAAAGAGCTGTTTCTATTGTGTACAGACCAGTATTCAATTCAGAAAGTGATTTTGAGTCATTAGATATTGAAGAAATAAGCTAAGCTAAGATAATAAGCTAATTTACAATAAAAAGAGGTGTGTCCTATGCAGCCAGTGTAGTTCTTTGAGCCAGCATTGATTTTGAGTGATTAGGTCACATGACCTGGAAGGTATTGAAGAAATAAGCTCATTTTCCCATCAAAATATTAATATAAAATATTTAGAGTATTAAAATGGAATAAAAAGAGGTGTGTCCTAAGCAGCCAGTGTAGTTCTTTGACCCAGCATTGATTTTGAGTGATTAGGTCACATGACCTGGAAGGTATTGAAGAAATAAGCTCATTTTTCCATCAAAATATTAATAAAAAATATTTAGAGTATTAAAATGGAATAAAAAGAGGTGTGTCCTATGCAGCCAGTGTAGTTCTTTGAGCCAGCCTTGATTTTGAGTGATTAGGTCACATGACCTCGAAGGTATTGAAGAAATAAGCTAATTTTTCCATCAAAATATTAATATAAAATATTTAGAGTATTAAAATGGAATAAAAAGAGGTGTGTCCTATGCAGCCAGTGTAGTTCTTTGAGCCAGCATTGGTTTTGAGTGATTAGGTCACATGACCTGGAAGGTATTGAAGAAATAAGCTAATTTTTCCATCAAAATATTAATATAAAAATATTTAAAGTATTAAAATGGAATAAAAAGAGGTGTGTCCTACGCAGCCAGTGTAGTTCTTTGACCCAGCATTGATTTTGAGTGATTAGGTCACATGACCTGGAAGGTATTGAAGAAATAAGCTAATTTCTCCATCAAAATATTAATATAAAATATTTAAAGTTTTAAAATGCAATAAAAAGAGGTGTGTTCAATAAATGTATGCTCTAGAGTGAATTTGCTTCACATTCACACGATCGAGAAGCTGTCGATTTATTAAAAATAACATTTTTCTTGTGTAATTGTAAAAGTCATTTGTTGATGGTCCCTAAGTGAAAGCCTCGTTTCGCAGAGAAGATCTCCCCGTTAAACTGACGCTGCTGGCGGGTCCGGGAAACTGACGCTGCTGGCGGGTCCGCGAATGTCCGTCGAATATCCAACCTAAAACTAACTTCACCGCGGTGAAACAAAGGCTACATTAATGTATTAAATCGATGTTAATCCATGTGTGTGGAGGTGTGGATGTGGAATTAACGGACGTGATGTTGTGCGATTGCGTTGCCAGGCAACGCAATTTACAAACTCTTCAACTGCAACCCTAATTATATTTAAAAACATTTTAGAAGGCCTCACAAAATACTTTAATGTAAATTAAAATGTAAATGTGAAGGGATGTGTGTAATGTCGTGATTGACATTATTCACCCACGGATCTATGGGTTGGGGGTATTGTTCCGCACGGACATTTGAGTTAACCGGACTGCCTGTTGATGTGAAATCCTAAAACATTTAAAAAAAAATAATAATACTTTATTCCGAGTGTTCTTGCTTTTCTCTTTGGAGGTCATCACATAACGGCATTGTAATACACGGTTCGGCTGCATTAAATATGACATATCTGCCGTAGTTCTGTATTTATAGAGCCCTGATGAGAAGACTTCTGGACAAACAGGAAGCACTGCCGCCAAAACTGAAAACGTGACGTGGATCATAAATATATCAGCAATTAAACAACATCTTACATTTCTTTTCACACAATACGTCTCCTTGCAGTATCAATACTAATTCAGCTGACTTTTATATTCGATCCAATTGGTAGATAGGCTGTATTTACACCATAACAGTGCACAGCTGATATAAAAGGACTTGTCGTTTTTAAAGATATTACTGATTTTCTTTGAATATAAGAATGTAAATACTGAGTTGAGAGAATAGTCAGGGGATTTGGGTGATGGGAGACACATCTATGGATTCAGAATTTCAATAGCTTACTGTTAAATGACGGATATACCTTTCTGTCTGTGATGTTTTACAAATCAGATATTAGAAGTAAAACATGTGAAATAATATAGCAATATCCTGTACAATTATGTGAAAACATGAATAAAACTACACATCTTCAGATGTTATACATACACAAGTGTCCTACACTAATAATACAAAGTTATTATGGCTGTGTGTACCTTGTGTGCACCGCCTAGTGGTTAAAGCACGTTATTGAATTAGTTGTGTATATGATATGTCAATGAACCTTAGAAAATCTTGAAATCTTGAAAGGGATGTGCAAAATAGCCATTATATACAGTCTTTAATGAACTATTAGTAGAGAATAACGAGTAATGAATATACTTTATAGAGATCTGCAGATAAATGTTTAGTCTTCTCAAGCAGCAACTATCAAATATCTCTCCTGATTGTTGGCACTTGACAATCACCTTCACTGAATTTTACTCAGGTGTAACTAAAGCCTGATTTAAGGGTTGTTTATATTTCACATCATTAATCAGAATCTGCAAAGTAACTAAAATAAATGTAGTGGAGTAAAAATGCCAGGTTAACCTCTGAATTGTAGTGGAGTAGAATTGCTGTTTTGTTTAGTAATGGATATTGAATATGGAATAAAGGTTTTGACAAGACCTGGTGTAACAATAATCAAAAAGGACATTAAAAGAGCTCCAGATGTTAATTATATCAGCTGTGCACCGTTATGGTGTAAATACAGCCTATCTACCAATTGGATCAAATATAAAAGTCAGCCGAATTAGTATTGATACTGCAAGGAGACGTATTGTGTGAAAAGAAATGTAAGATGTTGTTTAATTGCTGATATATTTATGATCCACGTCACGTTTTCAGTTTTGGCAGCAGTGCTTCCTGTTTGTCCAGAAGTCTTCTCATCAGGGCTCTATAAATACAGAACTACGGCAGATATGTCATATTTAATGCAGCCGAACCGTGTATTACAATGCCGTTATGTGATGACCTCCAAAGAGAAAAGCAAGCAAACTCGGAATAAAGTATTATTATTTTTTTTTAAATGTTTTAGGATTTCACATCAACAGGAGTCCGGTTAACTCAAATGTCCGTGCGGAACAATACCCCCAACCCATAGATCCGTGGGTGAATAATGTCACGACATTACACACATCCCTTCACATTTACATTTTTAATTTACATTAAAGTATTTCGTGAGGCCTTCTAAAATGTTTTTAAATATAATTAGGGTTGTAGTTGAAGAGTTTGTCTGGCAACGCAATCGCACAACGTCACGTCCGTTAATTCCACATCCACACCTCCACACACATGGATTAACATCGATTTAATACATTAAAGGGGACCTATCATGCAAAATGCACTTTTGTACGTCTTTTATACATGAATATGTGTCCCCGGTGTTCCAGGGAACTCACCAAGATGTCAGAAAACACAACCCTCTCTATTTTCCTCCATACCCAAATCTCTAAAAAAGGGGCTGCAACGGATCTGATAAAAACTGATCCAGATTTCAACACTGTCCTGACATCAGGACAGTGGCGCTACGGCTATTGGGCCAACTCCACCAATCAGGAGGAGACAGCCACGGCCATTGCCGTTCGAAAGCGCTGGAGACGCTGTAGTACATATGCCAGGCCTGTAGATGGTGCTGGTCTCACAGAATCAGCCCTTGCAAAAACAGAGCTAACATTTTTCAAATTCAGCTAAATGAGGCATGGCTAAAATGCATGATCTGTTTGGTATTTAAAAAAAAAAAAAGTATAAATATGCCTTATATAGGTATGGTCCTACACTATATTATTCAAATATAGCATGATAGGTCCACTTTAATGTAGCCTTTGTTTCTGCTAAAAGAGGTGTCGACCAGCTAGGGCAACAAGAAAATCGGCGAAATCGAGTGTGACGATTAAAAAATAAATTAAAAACATCTAATTTTGACAATAAAAACCGACCAATAGGCGCAGTAGACCATTTGCTTGGCACTTCCGGGTATTTCTCCACTGGTTGGGCCATGTTAACAATACCGTGTAACTGTCACGTTTGAAGGGACGAAACCGTGACATATTCACGTCTCCCAGCATGGTAGATCGTCACATGTTCACGTCTTGCCGTGATACCGGGTTGTTTCTATTCTATATTATTTATATCATTGACCTTCCACTTTCCCACTATATTAAGAGTATGTACTCTTAATATTTAAATGTTTTCATCAAATATAACACATTCAAATGTGCTTTACAAAAATGAAAGACATTAAGAAAAAGGCATTTTAAAACAGTCATTAAAAAGCAACAC